GTAGCCCTGCGCTTTGAGTGCCCGAATCGCACCCAGATATTGAGTGCCAATACCCTTAGTGTCCTGCGTGCCACGGGCGTAGATGCGACCCTCGTCGTCCAGATCGGCGCTGAAAGGATCATGCGTCCAATGCTCGGGGAACACCGGCACCACATCCATATGCGAGTTCAGTATGATTGACGGCAGCTCTGGCTGGGTACCCAACCACTTCACAATAACCACGGGATTGGCATCGTTCACTGGGTACACCACATCCACTGGGAGATCAAGGCTGGCTGCCTGACGCTTAATAAACTCCACGCATCCGGCTATTGAATAGAATCAGTTAATCGAGTATAACTAAGTTACATGACGAAGTTTCAGATGTATATAAGTGGGTAGCACTATACAGCTTTAAGGTATATATCTACCCTAGGTGATAGATATCCTACACACTCACTGTAGTCTACGTTTGGGTGAATGGAAGGAATTCGCAAATATTCACGAAAGATTTTGATTTCCTCATTGTTTTCCCACTCAGCTTTGCTCATTTTCACTTTATCGTATGGATCGGTATCACAGAGCTAGTTGCTGCGGCTCAAGTTAGGGACTAACTGTTGGCTGAAGAAAATGATGTTCGCTCTTAATAGTCTCTTGAGGTCTCCACATCCACTTTGATCTACACAGAGCAAGTACATTTGCTGCTAATGGGCTGTCATGCGTTATCGGTTTTATGGACGCTCAATCTTTATTTCATAAACTTGACTGATATGCTGCTTATCAGTGTGATTAGTCTGGTTGCAAATGAGCCTGTTATCGGGGTGTTTTATTTGCAGTCTGAGGTCTAACAGTGGGTCGTATATAGTGAGAGCGCTCGACAAATTGAAAGCAATTTATTAACCACTCTTAAAATGATAAAAAAAAACTACACCTCCCATTAGCTAATTAGTTGAAGTGGTGCTTAAGAAATACGACAGATAATACAATGGATTGCCTTAACTACATATTGACACATTTGAAGCCAATTGATTAAGACATCAAGTATTGGCAGAATGTCGACTTTGTTTAGCCTTTTAGAAACTAGATAAATAACTTGTTGTAAATTAATTAATTGAGACGTTCTGATTGAAATGCGCGAATATAGAATACAAACGCGTTATTTCTTATCACGCATCACAAATACCTTTTGCAAGCTCTTATCAGCGTGTCTATTTAAGTTATTTTTATCGGAGCTAGTTAAGCCTGGTTGGTTATCTCTCAGCCTGGGCTTGAAGAGCGTGCGGCTAGTAAAAAAGCATCAAAGCTTTTTGCTGCACCTCAAATATTGTATAGATATGTGAGCAGTGTGAGAGGAACCAGGACATATAGCAACAAACAGTGAAAAGTTTGAAGACCAGAGGTACGAAGCCATCATAAAATCATAATATCTCACACCCTTTACAATATTTTGCACAATGATAATAGTTGATATATAGTTGACTTTGGTTTACCAAGAACTCATTTGCCATTGCATAATGCACACATAAAAGACGCTTTGGCCTGTGTAACTCACTGTAATCCACATCCGGATGCACCGATTTAATGCGCAGATATTCACGGAAGATTTTGATCTCTTCATTATTTGCCCACTGAGCCGCACTCATTTATTCGCTTTGCACAATAATAAAAGGTACGTTCGTCGAGCTGAGGTTTGATTTAAATCAAAATTTGTTTCCTTCTTCCTTTTATACCCGGTATCGGGAAGAGTATTGCTATTGAAAATGCGGTTACTTCTTATCTAATTGTTGACGAAATTTGCGGCTTAACTCGTTATCAGCAGTTGCATTGTATTTCTTCTTTTTATCAAAACTAATTATGTTTGCGGGCTTTGTTATGAAAACAATTCAATTATAATGCATCACCCCTCTATCTATTACCCTAGTTTATATCAAGATCAAGGTTGCTTGGCTTTACAGTCTGAAACTGATGGCTGTCAAGCGGTTTGGTTGAAGAGAAACAGTAAAACAAAATCCTTAGCTTGTTAATTATTATTATTATTGTAGGTTATATATACTATATTATTATATATAATATATATATACAACGACCTTCTATGGCCCGTCGATTAAATTACACTTGGATGGGATTCTAAGAATCCAGATGCCTGGCTGAGTCAGTGGATTCCTGGATTTCCTGTAATTCGGTATTGCTAAATTAAATTACCAACTAATCTAAAATCTGTTGCGTAATGCGAATTCACCTTTCGACTTCCAAGTAATTCCAATTTACTCATTTTACCAATTGGTCAACATGTTTCAGCGGAAAGTGCTCAGTGTCTGACGACAGCTACCGGTTAAACGCAGACCACGATAAAGCAAAGTTCTGTTATTAATAAATATATATGTATGTATATAGATATGGCCTGCTTTTTATTATCAGCTACATTTCCCATTATAATAAATTTGAGTGATTTGCCTCTTATCAGCAAGTTTGCTGTGATTGAAAATTAGCCCATTATCAGAAGTTTTACTTGTCATTTAACCTCAAGTATGTTTATTGTTGAATAGCAGATCGATCAAACTATTGAAATCAACATTAATTAAGAGTAAGTAAAATGCGCTAGGCATTGGCCACAGCTGCAATTAGCTTCTTGTAAATCTCAATGCCACGCAGGTAGGTGTCAGCTCGCAAGTATTCGTTGTGGTCGTGCAGTAGGATGGGCGTGTTATTGATTGGCGAGAATCCCAAAGCCGAGATGCCAGCTTGTCGCAGGAAGCGGCTGTCGGTGCCGCCAGGAAACACGCGTTGCCTGGTCTTCACACCTCTACATCGAATTTAAAAAAAAAAAAGAAAAAGTTGAGCACTCGAGCGAATCGCTTCCTCCTTACTTACAGTTCGTCTAGGGCTTGCTTGAACGCCAGCCAGTAGGGATTCGATGCATCGATTTTAGTGGGCGGTACAAAGGGTTCCTTCGATTCGAACACCAACTCAATGCCGCCTCCCGCCTCCTCGCACCAGTCCCGAATTTTCTTCTCGAGCTCATCAGTGTCCACTGTTATGGCGATTCGAATATCAAAGACCACTTCCAGCAGCGGCGGCACCACATTGCTTTGGACACCGCCGCCCAGTTGGGTTAGGTTCATGGTGGTAACGTCTCCAATGTCTACTTTGGAGTTTTGCTCAAGTCTTCTCACCTCCAAATCACGGAATTCCATAATTTTGACCAAAATGTAGCTGAACTTCTGACCGGCGGTTTTGTTTAGAAGCAGCGAATCGTGACCAGAAGTTCCACTGATCTTAAGCCTTAGGTCTGCAGGAATTCAAGAATCTCAATGAGGATCTCAATATAAGCTGCATGTACCTACGCCATATAGTTCGCTCTGCATAAAACACAGAATACGTTTCGTCCTCGCTGGCAATGCCCTCGTCCAAACTAAATCCAACATTGAGTCTCTTGAAGTAATCCGTCTTGACCAGGTTGGCCATTCCCGGGGTAATGCCAGCCTCTTCATCAGGCACGAAGGTGAGGTAAACAGTGCGCTTGGGCTGATAGCCGCTGGCTTTCAGGGACCGAACAGCCGCAAGATATTGCGTTGCAACACTCTTCATATCCTGAGCGCCTCGAGCATAAATGCGACCTTCGTCATCCATTTCGGCATTGAACGGCTCGTGCGTCCACTTGTCAGGGAACACCGGAACCACATCCATGTGCGAGTTTAGGACAATGGAAGGCAGCTCAGACTGTTTGCCTAGCCACTTTATAACAACAACCGGATTCAATCCGACCGACACAACCTCTATAGGCAGCTCCAGGCTCGCTGCTTGACGTTTCAAGAACTCCACACAGGCAGCTGTAAACCCGAGAAAGATCCAATTTCATCAAGGTTCTTATTTTTATCGGCTCTGATATTTACTGTAATCCACATTTGGATGCACCGATGGAATGCGCAAATATTCACGGAAGATTTGAATTTCTTCATTGTTTTCCCATTCAGCTCGACTCATTGCGAAAAAATTGGACTTTCGATGTCTGGCGCGGCTAGTTTAAATATATTTCAATATACGCACTTCACTTCTCTTTTAAATACCCATTTCCATTCGTCACAGTTTGTTGTTTTGCAGACACAAGTTTCACTTAACTGCCGAGTCCTAAGCACTGTGGTTTAACTTATCTTTCATTTTGTGGTTTTATTTTTATCAAAAATAGTTTTATTATACCCTTAACCCATTGAAAATAGCAAATCGGGATATGTTTTGGGATTATGCATACAGTTCAGTGTGGGTTAATAGAACTAGAACCCAATTTACATTAAACTGACTGTCAGTTTATTCCCCGTATAAAGTTTTTATGTTATTATTATTACAAGTTACGTAATGATTGTTACAAATATAAATACCCACAATATTCAAGATTAAACACGATAAATCTCATATATTCAATAATTATTTAGCTACCTCTTCCATTTAATCTAACACCATCATCATTGTCAATAACAACATTAATATTTGTTTATTTCATCTGTAGATGCCGAATCCCAAATACTAAAAAATGTTTATCTAATATTAGAGGTTTTAGAAAATGATGTATAAGTAATTATAATCTCTAAAGAAGACCAAGACGAGAATATACATATATAGCTTATCATACGGGCCAATTTAGATAGCTCCAAAACTACGTGACACTAAATAAAACGACGTATAAAATTATTTTCTGTTTCAAATTTAAAATCTCTTCAAGCGACAAACTGAAGCAGGAGACAAAAGGCAAGACAGACAGACGTTAAAAAGTATACAAGTATAAAATATTCATTCGCATATCGTATTGCAGTAGGTCACGTACAGAGCTCAATGGAAAATTAATTAATTTGATGAATCATTCATGAAAGAAACAAGAAGGGAATGCGAATTTTCCTGGATAATGCAAAATGAATGACATTTGCGCAGTTCCAGTTCGCGCTTATGCTGTATATATATTTACAGTAATTATTCACACGTTTCATGTTGCATATACATATATTTGCAGTAATTATTGGCGTGATTCATTTCATTAAATTGTGATTCGACTCTGCAGTTTTATTGTGTTATTAATTTGGGCACATATAATTGGAATGAAATATTAGAATGCCGTATATGGTTTTCATTCAGACATTGGCCACAGCTGGTATGAGCTTTTTGTAAACCTCGATGCCGTTCAGATAGGTGTCCGCACGCAAGAACTCATCGTGATCATGCAGCAGCAAGGGAGTCTTGTTGATTGGCGAGAAGCCCAGAGCCGGAATGCCAACATGGCGAATGTAGCGGCTGTCGGTGGCGCCCGGAAAGACACGGTAGCGAGTCTTCAAGCCACTGCGGAAGCAAAAACCCTGTTACATAGTTCCATTGAATTGAACGACATACTCACAGCTCGTCTAAGGCTCTCTTAAAAGCCACCCAATATAAATTCGACTCATCTATCTTGGTGGGCTGGACAAAGGGACATTTCATCTCGAAATCCAGTTCAATGCCGCCTCCGGCCTCTTCGCACCAATCGCGAATTTGCTTCTCAAACTCAACGATGTCCACAGTGATGGCGATTCGAATATCAAAGACCACTTCCAGCAACGGCGGCACCACATTGCTTTGGACACCACCGCCCAGTTGGGTTAGGTTAACGGTGGTGACATCTCCAATGTCAATGTTGGGGTCTTCTTCAAGTCGTTTCACCTGCGACTCGCGGAAGTCCATCAGCTTGTTCACAATGTAGTTGAGCTTCTGGCCAGCGGTGTTCGGCAGCAGCAGAGAGCCGTGACCAGCAGTTCCGCTGATCTTAAACTTAAGATCTGAAATGATATATTTTTAATGAGTGTCTTCTTGGGAAATGGTCCATAAACTTACGCCACAAGGTTCGCTCGGCATAATACACGGCGTATGTTTCATCCTCACTGGAAATGCCCTCGTCGAAGCTGAAGCCGACATTAAGCTTCTTGAAGTAGTCGCTGTTCACCAGCTGGCGCATGCCCAAATGACCTCCGACCTCTTCGTCGGGCACATAGGTGAGATAGACAGTGCGCTTCGGCTGGAAGCCACTCGCCTTGAGGGCGCGAACGGCACCCAGATATTGAGTTCCAACGCACTTCATGTCTTGCGAGCCGCGGGCAAAGATGCGACCTTCGTCATCCAGATCGGCACTGAATGGCCCGTGGGTCCACTTATCAGGGAAGACGGGCACGACATCCGTGTGCGAGTTCAGAATTATTGAGGGTAGTTCCGGCTGCTTGCCCAGCCATTTCATTACCACAACGGGGTTGGCTTCGTTCACGGGATAGACGACGTCCACGGGCAGGCCCAGGCTGGCTGCCTGACGTTTTAAGAACTCCACACAGGCGGCTATAAAACACAGACGACAGTTAATCTTTATGGGATGAATTGCTCAAACGACTTGCTTGATAAGCGTGTATTTATGAATTTAGATATGAACTACTATTAGTTCAGTCCACAATCTCAGAGAACTTACTGTAATCAACATTTGGATGCACCGTTGGAATGCGCAGATATTCGCGGAAAATATTAATTTCCTCGTTGCTCTCCCACTCAGTCTTGCTCATCTTGATCAGATTCCGTTGCTACAATGTGCGTGCATTAATAGATTTAACTTTACATATAGATTATGGAATGTAAGGCGAGTCTAAAAGTGTACAATTTTATAGACAGACAAACAGCTGGCTCCTCAGGCCAGCGATCAGCTGTCAAGAGCTTCGTTAAGTACCTTCTCAACACTGGCAGCGATCGTCAGCGACTGTGGCCGTTGGCGTGCGTCCCGCGTTTAAATATGCCCAGGCGACGATTGGCCTATGATATTATCTTGTCGCTGAGGTTTTCACTGCTTATCAGCTTTGAATTGAGGTCTAAGAGCGAATAAAGAGGGCTCTATTGTTAGTTTGTTTTTAGTGTGATCGTGGCTTATCAGAAGTATTTGTTTACAGTTGCATTAACATAGGGTATGCATAGGGTATGTCTCGCCTTTTCGTAGCCCTTAGTGTCATTGCAACAAATCTTGTTCAATGCTGCGTCAGTTGCAGGATTTGGCAGGCAGCTAAAGCTTTGGCTTAGTGCGAAATTTATATTCTACTTTCCACTTGAATTCCTAATTTGCGATGCACACACACACAAACACACGCACGCCCACACATACTTTGCTACGTATGCCCATCTAGTCCGAACGTGTGGCATGTAAACAAGTTGTTGTTGTTGTTGTTATTGTTGATGCTGTTGCTGATGCAGATGCTGATAGGAGAGCTGTTGATGTTGCTGGCGTGCTCAGTTACTCCCAAACAGGCTTGCCAGCTGCCAACTGACAGTGCACTTGTGTGAGTGCGTATGTGTGTGTTTACTCTTGTTTGTTTATTAATGTACAAGTGTATGGGTGTGCGTGTGCGTGTGTGTGTCAGATTTCACGCTTATTTCAATGGGCGCAAATTGCTGTACACAAAAGTTGCACGAAACAAAACTGAAACGCCGAGATTTGTACAGCTGGTAGACTTCAGTTTAGTTTTGTTTGTTCATGATGTATGTATCTCCTGGGCTTACATATATATGTACATATATTTGTGTGCCATCGCAAAAAGTCATTAAAAGTTCATTAACAATGTTGCAAGGATTTTAATGGCAGCCACTGTGCCACCAAGAACAGGAACCATGTCAGCAACACATGTCTACATATCAAATACAAACACAAACAGATATCAACAACAAGTCGAGTACCTACAGCTATGCACACACATACATACATACACGTATATATTTATTTGATGTAATCGTCGCTAGATAATTCTACATGCATATTTGCTGTGTGCTGTTACAATTATCCAGTCAGCTCCACGGATATTGACACAAATTCAAGTCTGAAGCCGTGAATATTAATAATATATATGTATATATGTTTACCTTCATAATCCATTGCAATTGAAATATATATTCTCTTTTTTTTTTTCAAATGTACATTTCCATACGCTTTATCAGCATTTAGCTCTTAATGCTTGCCATCGAAAGCTCTTACTACGTGTAGGCATTGTTCAACATCTGTGGCAGGCATTTTAAGCTCTTCGTCATTCGCTTTTTTTCCATTATCTGCTGTTTGACAATACCTTCCCCACATAAAGCAAATAGACCGAGGACACACTCTAAGGCGAGCATTTTCATAATACGGCTGGGCACGTATCCTTTCACTCGCTCGCTTTGCCTAGAATATTAAATTTCGTATGCTCAACTTATTGCCACTAATCAATTTTAATTGTATTGCAGTCTATTTGCCCATCTGAAGCATCTCGGATGTGCATAGAAAATAAGATTTAAAATGCATATACTGCAAACGAAATCTAATACTCTGATTGCTAGTATCATGAAATAAATGCCTAAATATGCTAAAGTGCATTTTGTTAAGTGCTGCAGATATATTTAATCACTTAAAAGCCAATTTATATATATTTAGTCAATTGTTACCTTAATTGCAGCTGACTTTTGCATAGACTTACATATATATATATATATATATATATATATATATATATATATATATACAATATATGCAGAAAATTGACAAATAAATAAATAATTTATAATATATATAATTTAACAAAATTCTCTCAATTTATTCCTCATCAAAATAAGCTTTAAAAAAATTAAACTGTTTTGTATACATTTCTTTTTTAAATTCTAAAAATAAACTATTTTTATTTATTTATTTTTTTTTTTTCATAGTTTGTGTCGAGTAAATATAGCACTGAATTATATATATATAAAGCATTTATGTATACTTATTTTTTATTAAAATTTTCGGCATTCCTAATCAAAAATTCGTAGCATTTACTTCAATTGAAATCACAGAGCGAAATTAATGGAGTTGCAGCTACATAAGCCATATGAGCTTAGCTAACCTCTAATAAATACTTAATGTATCCATTGAAGCCCTTAATTACGTTCACTTGTGTGCCCTGCAGTGCTGCTAATTAATTCAAATAGTATTCAATTATTATGCACATTGAAATGTCATTTGAGCGAAGTGAAAAGCATTATAATTGGTTTTCATTTGTCACATTATCTTCATTATTTGCTTTTCTTTTTTTTTTTTTTTTTTTTTTGAAAGTAAACAATTGTTAATTATTAATGAAGCCGAATCGAATTAATTTGCCATGCGGATTGATTAAAGCGCATCCTTGTTGGCCAGCAAAATTAAATTAAATGAGCTTATATATATTCAATAACGCTTATGCCAATTCAAGTGACTTTTGTTTAATTTTGTATCTATTTGATAATAAATGTATTCATTCTGCTAATCAATGCAGGTTTGACAATATTTTAGTGCATTTTACGTGGTCATATATAATCAAATATATTGAAATATTTGCACTCGATTAAAGTTGATGATTTATTTATACAAATCATTATAGACATATATATAATATGTAAATGCAATATCGAAGCGAGAGAATATAAAAATAAATCGAATAGCGTATACTTGATGCGAACTGGCATCGCAAAGAATCTATTTCCAGTCTAAATTTATACAGAAATACATCGGGCAGCACAAATAAATAACTTAGTTCATTGCTGTATTCCCAGAGTCTCCGGTTGAATTTGTGTTCTGCTCTCGTCTAGTAAAAATTAAATACACTTTTAAATTTAAACCCATTGGAAATGTGTGTGGTTAATATTATCTGGCCCAGGCGTTTCGGCTCAAGTGTAGCAACAAGCTGAGCGATAATCCTCAGGTGGCATAAGCAGAGACTCTTGACTGACACGAGCAGGAGTCGGGGGCATTTGTAAATGCGAAACCAAAGCAACGCTATGCAAAAGACGCGACGTCCCTAACAAAGCATTCGCAGTGGGTCTACCCACAGCCAACCCACTGCCAACGCACAGGAACAGAATCAACACAACAAATGCGACCTGTGGCAGTGTTGCCATCAAGGCAAATAAAGGACTAAAGTTATGATAAATGCAGATGGAGTATAGCTGGCAGCGTTATTGCCTGTCATTTCTCATCAGCCAACGACAGCGGCGATAAGGGGCGTGCGACAAGGGGCGGCGGCCCAGCACCACTGACAACCGTCGACCGACAACCGACAAGCGACATCCAACAGCCAACAACCAACAGCCGACTTCCGGTTGTTGCCGCCATTTTTGCTTGACTGTCATGGCTGCCAGGCTTTGAATGGCTTCTAATAAAAAAACAAGCATGATTTTTGCCTCGCTTTTATTTTCCATTACGAGGCCCCCGTCTCACAGTCCCGCCTCGTGGCAAAAGAACGATGAGCTGCAATTTGCAAAGTTTTTGCTTGCTTTCGCACACACCCTTAAATACATATACGTGTGTATGTATAAATGACTTTGTTTCTGTGTGTGTGTGTGGAAGTGTGTGTGGGAGAGAGTGAGTTCTGAAGCTAGGAAAAACTTCATATTTTCTGTTGCTTCATTTGAGTTTTCTGTGTGGCGCGACAAATTTTTTGTTTGTCTACTTCCTTGCAAAGGTTTCCCTACTCCGCGCGCTCTCTCTCTCCCTCTCTCTCTCTCTCGCTCTCCCTCTTACTCTGCCAGCTTAGTCCAGCGCTTTACTTTTACCGCCGAGCAACTAGTTTTAAATGTGCTGCTTGGACGTGCCCCACTCAATGCCACACCAAATAGTAAAAAGTCAACGGCGGTGCCATTTACAGGTCTTTGGTTTGCCATGGCAACCGCTCTGTTGCTTAATGGATTGCCGGTATCGCCCCACTAATTGCCGATTGCTGCTAAGTGGCACGATTTGAGCTGCCGGAGGATTCGCTCGAACAGACTTTGGGTCAGCTCTGCAATTAACTAATTGATTGAACTATTCAATCGCCATAGATGCACGCCATTGCGTGAGCGTGGGCGTGGCTGGTTTGCAATTATTTAGGGGCAAGACCGCTTAGCAAGCCACATGCTCTTTATCTCCTTCATTCTGCTCATTGCTCATTGCTCATTGCTCATTGTCCGTTGCATGCTACGGCGCAACCTACTAAGGCTTTTAATGCAACGCATTCAAGCTCCTTAGATTTGGGTGTGTCGATAGCTGGCTCCGTCCGTGTGCCTTTTGTGAATCGAATTCCGGAATAAGCTTAATAAGCATCTGTTCAATTTCGACCAGCTCGTTTGCTCACAGCAATGCCATTAAATTAAATGGGCGTGGCACAGACAATGTTTGCTTAAATGCCTTCCAGACAGTCGTAGTCGACTTGGGTTACTCTTTACATTGCATTCACTTGTTAAATCTATTCTGTTTACGATATTTAATTAATTTAACTATATTTTATTTTATATATTTATTAAATATTAATTTAATTCTTGATTTTATATATATATTTTTTTTTATATATATTTATTAAATATTAATTTAATTTTTGATTTTATATTTTTTGTTTTTATTTATTTCCAATTATTTATTATTATAATTAATTTAATAAAAATATTTTTTTCATGTGTGTATTTTAAGTTACAGCTCTAATTTAATTATGCTTAGAACAGTAAGAACATATGGCTACAATAGAAATCGTGTGTGTGAGAAAGAGAGAGAGAGAGAGCAAGCGAGGGAGAGAGAGAGAAAGAGAGAGTGAGAGAGAGTTAGATACATAGAGAGAGAGATATAAATGGATGGCAGATTTAAGCTTGATTAAATCTTTTTGTTTCACATGGCACCCTCTGGCATTTGGCATCCTTTCCCAACTCCCGAGCAGCAT